ATTGCCCTAAATCTGTAAAGTACTTTACAACATTACTTATTGTATGTGCAGATGTGCAGAGTGTGCAGAGGGAAATGTATCTCATAAGCTACTGGAAAACAAAATTTGAGAATCATTGAGTTCTTAGATTTTTCAGCCTTTGTAACATTCCCTGGCATTGTAATGCCATGCGAAAAAAAAAGGCAATCTGTTTCTGTAAAAGGTGCTTGAATTGCCACGTAGTTTTTAAACATGTTTTTATTAGTGCATTATAGTTATACATATTAGTGTGGCTCATTTTGATATAACAAACACACATGGAATAGAATTTGTTCCACTTCAATCCCTAGTGCTTCTTTCCTTCCCTCCCTTCTCTCTCCCACTGTTCCCTTTCCTCTACTATGCTCGTCTTTCTTCTACTTATTTATTGTTATTTTTAAAACTGGTGCTTTATAGATGTTCATAAAAGTGAAGTTCATGGTGGTATATTCTTATATGTACATAATTTTGTCAATTTGTAGTTCCTACCTTTTCCTTTCTCTCCTCTCTCCCCATCAATCCCCTTCCTCTGCTCTACTGATCTCCCTCTCTTTTTGTGGGATCTGTCCCCCACTCTTTCTCCCCTTACTTTGCTCTGGCTTCCAGAGGGAAAAAAATTTAACCCTTGACTTTCTGAGTGTGGCTTATTTCACTTAGCCTGATATTATCCAGTTGCATCCATTTACCAGCAAACACCATAATTTGGTTCTTCTTTATGATTCAATACAACTACATTGGGTTTAAAAAAAGAAAGTACCATATTTTCTTTATTTATTTTGTCAGCAGGCACTGGGCTGGTTCTGTAACTTGATATTGTAAATTACATTGATACAAACATTGATGTGACTGTCTCACAATATTATGCTGATTTTAGTTCTTTTAGATAAATACCAAGGAGTGAGATAGCTGGTCATCTTTTGAGGAATCTCCATACTGCTTTCCAGAGTGGTTGTACTAATTCATGGTTCCACCAACAGTGTATGAGTGTACCTTTTTTTCCACATCCTCACCAGCATTATTGTTATTTGTGTTTTTTATTCGTTCCTGCCTCCATACCCCCATTCTGGCTGGAGAGAGATGAAAATTCAATGTAGTTTTTGATTTGCATTTCCTTGATTTCTAGCAATGTTAAACATTTTTTCTTGTCATGTACTTTTTTATGCAGACAGAACTGCCCTTTTTTTGGTTGAATAAAATATTTATATTATACGTTATTATGTATTATTTAATGGCTTTAATATTCTTACTGACAAGAAGCAGTTTAAAATGGAATACTTTTCCTTAACAATTGCTTCCTTTTATTTTCCATTTCTAAGAGAAGGTAAAATATATGGTTTTGAGAGGCACCTCTTCCACTTTAGAAAAATAGCCAAAACAAAATTATACATTTTCTAAAGAAAATGATTTGATAATAATTTTATGTAGTCTTCTTTACTGTTGCACCTCATGCATTTTTCTTATAATGTAGTCATACTCATACATAATAATATGAGAATTTCCTTTCAGTGTCAGAAACTCATTAATGCAATTTATTTATTTATTTATTTGCTGGACCACTGAGCCACACCCCAAAACCACGATTTTTAAGGACTTCTAATATAGAGATTGTATTTCTTGTTTGGGAGAACTATAAATAACTCTTTGGTTAATAATGGACATTTAAGTTTTACTGCATTTAAGTTTTAAGTATTTTTTTCTTCCATTAACTGTGTAGCTTTAAAGCCCTGATGAAAGGGTTTTCAAATTAATTAATTTATTTTAATTAGGTATATATGACAGCACAATGCCTTTTGATTCATTGTACACAATTGCAGCACAACTTTTCCTTTCTCTAATTGTATACAATTTGGCATTGCACCATTTGTGCAGTCATACATGTACCTAGGGTAATGATGTCCATCTCATTCCACCATCTTCCTGTCCTCATCTTCCCTCCCCGTCTCTCCCTCCCCTTTGCCCAATCAAAGTTCCTCCATTTTTCCCATGCCTAGCCCCACCCCCATTATAGATCAGCATCTACTTATCAAAAAGAACATTCGGCCTTTGGTTTGGGGGGATTGGCTTACTTCATTTAGCATGATATTCTACAATTTCATCAATTTACCTGCAAATGCCATAATTTTTTTCTCTTTTAATGCTGAGTAATATTCTATTGTGTATATACACCACAGTTTCTTTATCCATTCATCTATTTAAGGGCATCTAGGTTGCTTCCACAGTTTAGCTATTGTGAATTGAGCTGATATAAACATTGATATGGCTGCATTATTATAGTATGCTGACTTTAAGTCCTTTGGGTATAGACCAAGGAGTGGGATAACTGGGTCAAATGGTGATTCCATTCCAAGTTGTCTAAGGAATCTCCATACTGCTTTCCAGAGTGGTTGTACCAATTTGCAGTCCCACCAGCAATGTATGAGTGTACCTTTTCCCCCCACATCCTCGCCAACACTAATTGTTGTGTGTATTCTTAATGATTGCCATTCTGACAGGAGCGAGATGAAATCTTAGAGTAGTTTTGATTTCATTTCTCTAATTACTAGAGATCTTGAACCTTTTTTATATATTTGTTGATCAATTTTACATATTTTTCTGAGAAATGTCTGTTCAGATCCTTAGCCCATTTATTGATTGGGTTGTTGGTTGTTGTTGTTGTTGTTTGTTGTTGTTGTTTTGTTTTGTTTTTGGGGTGTTTTTTTGTGTGTGTGTGTGTGTATTCAGTTTTTTGAGTTCTTTATATATCCTGGAAATTAGTGCTCTGACATGCATGTGGCAAAAATTTGCTCCAAAAATGTAGGCTCTTTTCTCACCTCATTGTTTCTTTTGCAAGAAGAAGCTTTTTATTTTTTTTAAATTAATATTTATTTTTTAGTTTTCAGCGGACACAACATCTTTGTTTGCATGTGGTGCTGAGGAGCGAACCCGGGCCGCACGCATGCCAGGCGAGCGCGCTACTGCTTGAGCCACATCCCCAGCCCAAGAAGAAGCTTTTTAGATTGAATCCATCCAGTTTATTAATTCTTGATTTTATTTCTTGTGTTGTAGGATTCTTGTTAGGGAAGTGAGGGCCTAATCTAACGTGATAAAGATTTGAGCCTTAGACCTGCCCTTTTAAATTGAGGATTTCAGTGTGTTTTTAGTCATCATTGTTTTTTGATAGTGTCTGAATATTTTAGCTTTTTATGTTCTTAATTACATTGTTATCCTTTCATTTGCATTATGGACTATATAGATTTTGACATCAAATGAATGTGGAAATGATTCTGAAAAAAACTTTAAATGTAGAAAAATTTTATCAATGGAAAAATTGATGAAAGAAATTGATAAGTGATAACTTCATAGTATTAATTCAAATTAAAGCAGTTATATATAATGTGTAACATTATATGCTATAGATTCATACACTAGTGTTAAACTAAATGTTTAATGTCCTGAATCGAAAAAGCTGGGACCATAAGTATTTCAGATTTCAGATTTAAAATAATATTTAAATTTTGGTTTTGGAACATTCTAGATTTTGAATTTTTATTTAGACTAGGGATGCTGATTCCATATAACAGATAAGAAGAATCACCTTCTCATGAACTCTTATTTTCTCATCTGTAAATTGGAAAAGATAATTTGTTCCTCTATCTCACAATGCTTGGGGGGCATAACATGAGATCCTTTGTGCCTGTATTTTTTAATTAGAAGTTCAAATATCTAGCACTGTCAGAGAGAAGGGTATATGTGAACATGTATTATATGTGAAATAACTTATTATTCAAATATTTGGCAAACAGCTTTCCAGATGACCTGAGGCCCTGGTAGGCCCTCAAATTCACAGTGTCCAGGCTTTTGCCCTTGCTTCAGGTGGCAGGAACCCAGTGAGACATAGACACCTGTCCACTGCTTGTGCAGGCAGTCAGATAGCATGCCTGCAACCCATGCAGGTCTAAGTGATGCACATCTGATATGCTCAGGGAGAAGCTGGGATTTTAAGAGAAAACCAACAGCCAAGAAGCTTGCAGAGGAGAGGGAGCTCTCTGAATTATAGATTTTTCTGAGATCTCTGCTTTCTTGCCTGTGACTAGAAGGCATGGACATAGTGGAAGAGATTCCTGCTGTATCTTTAGGGGGCAAGCACACCCAGTCCCTGGATATGGGACTGATACATTCAGAAATACTGTTAGGTTTATTTTAGGTCTTGCATTTAATTCTGTGTTCCTTCTCATCAGCATTCAGAACATGAATGCTGATCTGTCAACTTGAGCATTGATGCTGGGGGATAAACATGTGCCTAGTGCATCATTTTCCTTAGAGGCTTTCAATTAATTGTGGAGATAAATAACATTATCAGAGAAAAAAGCAATAACTAATATTTGTATTATACTTTAAAATAGATTCTGGTGAGCTTTGCTCATTCTTCAAACACATACATATATATATTTGAAAATAAATCTATATTTATATTTATGCTTATGTTACATAGAGAAAAAAAGATCAAAACTAGGTAATACTTCAAGATGGTAATGGTGATGAGAATTTGAATTATTTAATTTTTTTTGCCCTTTTCTTTATCTTTTGTGTTTTCCTCAGTGTGTATTATCTATACAACTTTAAAAATACAACAACGTATTAAACTTGTATTCTTTGATAAGTGAGATGGGTGATTTACCACTGGTCCTGGTGAGGCTCTGGAGGCTCTGCTGTTGAGACTGGTTACATTGCAGGGATATGTCTAAGTAACCAGCAAAATATAAAAAAGCATGAGGCAAAATGTCATGCCAGATATGACCTGAAATACTACCAGTTGAGTTTAGAAGATGAATCACAAAGAAGGTATGGTGGGTTACTAGTTGCTTTAATCTCCTTTACCTACTTGTTTTAACAAGTAACAGTTCTCATGCCAGTAAATTATTGAAATCCCAAGAGCCCTCATAAACATCTCTTATCAATGTTCTAAAACATGTAAAGCATATTTCTTTGTCCTTTTTTTTCAGACCCCCTGGCTGTGGAATACAAGGCACTGCTGGTACAACTATCCCTATCAGGTAAGCAGGTCTTTCTGTCTTCCTTCCCTAACTTCTTCACATCAGTTTCATGGTTTCAAGCATGGCTGGGCAGCCACTTGTGTTTTAGCCCCGCCCCTAATGATTGATGCTAGACATGACTTAGTGTGGACAATAGTTTTTGTGTTCTTAATGAAGTTCAGAATCAAAGCCCAGTTTCTTTAGCAGATGGAGTAAACTTGGAAGTTTATATTTGCTAAATAGGATGCAGTCAGTTCACTGGGTGGACAATTCCTGTTTGTAGCAGCCAATGGGCTTCTCATTATTGAGGGAAGTCTGAAGTCTAAGGCCTGCCTTCACCTTAAGCAGGAGAGCTAGAAGAGGCACACTGAGTTCAGTTCACTTTGTAGCTTAGAAGCAGCTTCTGAATATACAAATCAAGTGTCATTTCCTTCAGTGCAGAAAAATGGACTTGTACCATTACACATGGATTGATTATTCCTGCAACTCAAGAAAACATCACTGAAAGTGAGATTAAATTATATGCCAGGAACACTTTAAATCCCTGCCCACCAAAACACCTTTGTATCTATATGTGAATTCAGTGATATCAGTGTGTGTTTTTGCAACCCCAGATCAGTTAATATTTGACCATCAAAGCTGGGACTTTTCTAGAAAATTCTAGTTCATTTGGGAATATGCTATATAAGAAAAGCAAATGCAGCTAGGTATTTTGGTGACAAAGAGATACATTAAGCAACTTTGATTTTCTGAGTTTGGGGTTCTTTTGTAGTTATCTCTTTAGAGGCATTTGGGCTTTGGGGTATGCTTAGGGTTAATGTGGCCCAGCATGCTCCACATCTTCTCTATTACACACAGATTCACAGCATGGGCTAAGGCCTGGTATTGGATGCTCCTTGAGCAAGTTTAAAGCTAAGAACACATTGAAATGGAACTCCAATTTGCACTTCCATCTCTTTCAAGTAGTTTATTCAGATTAGAAAAGAATGTAAATAAGCAACATGACATAGTTAGGGAGAGCAGAGCATTCCAGGGACATCTGATAGTGACTACAACAGTGTTAGAGCCAATCACTTATTTGACACAATTGTTACTCTAGGGCCGAACGGCTGCTTTGCTATCTACCTTGAACATTGTCATTTGAGGTTTTCTTTGTATCTTGTAAAGGTACACTGAGCAGCACAAGCCATATATATCTAAATTTCCACTTATAAAAGGATGTTAAAGGCTCCTAAAATCCTGAACTGGAATGTTGGCATGGCAGCTACTGTAATGCACTGTGTTTATGAGATAAATTCTGTAACATGAAGGACATTGAGACAAATGCTGTGTGAAATGTAATACCTTCTCTTCTTCTTAACTATACTATAGTCCAAAATAATTTTCACATTGATGGCTGAAACTGACAAATAGCTCATTTCTGGGAAAATGAGTTGCTAAGATTATGGTCCAAAATGTAGCTGCAATTTATTTAATGGACAGACTATAGATTCAGCATAAAAGTCTGAGGGTCTGGTTGATACAACTATGTTTAAGAATAGGAAACATCATTAATATGAAAGGAAAGATTCCATAGGTGCAAATTCAGGTCAAGAGTGTCTTCTGATAAGTCATCATTTCTTAACACTGGATAATTCAGTATAAAGCTCCCAAAATCAAGGGCAGATTCATGATCTCTTGTGGGAACAGTGATAATCTTTGATAAATGCCATATATGAATTTTAAAAGGCTTTTTGTGTGTATGGTAAAAAATTAAGCAGCATAAAATTACCATGTATGCAAATACAGGGCTGTGTATGTAATTGTGTCTCTGTAAACATATATGGTAGATTGCAGGTCAGAGTCAATGTCAATCCTTCAGAGCACTTTCAAAAATTGAGCATGCTCATGATGCACATTTGTTATATCTTTAGCATACATACTACATAAGTAATTAAACATATATTTAGATGAAATAGTAGTGGTCTACTTCAGTTTTATTAAGTACACAATGCTCCTTTTGTATAAGCATGTGTATTTTTTGTATGTAATAATTTTATATATGTGTACATTTTAAGATTAAAATAACATAAATTTGCATTCAACTGGCCCTTGTATTGCTTGTAATAAGGAACACAGGTTGGGCATGAGAAGCCCCTCTGCAATGGTCATGGAGACTCACTAGCTATGAGACTTGGGTTTGGCCTTTTAATCTCAGTTAATTAATTAAGCTATTTTCTGCCAACTATACAATCCTTTAGAACTTTCATAAGAATCAAAAAGTTAACATGTGAGTGAGCTTTGCCAGTTGCAGAGCAACCCATGGAAATGGTAATTATAATGTGATGTTCTATTTCTGAAGTTTCTGGAGGTGAACTAACTTGTCCTTATGACCCTTCTGGGGCATTTTTCCAGGTAATGGTGCTGAGTTAAGGGAATCTCATTAAAACTGAAATTTGACCTTGACTCTAAGGTCAAATTCCAGGGCCCTATTTTCTTGGCTGCATTGCTACCAACATCTGCCCTGAATACCCATCCTTCATTGCTAATGCCTTCAGTTTATAAAAGGATAGTTCAGTGATAAATAATTTCTCTCAAGGGTGATGCTGAGCTGAAGAAAACCTTGATGCTTGTCTTATCAGTTGAGGCAGCCATAACAGAATATTGTAAGAAGTGCTCATATACATAAGGGCACCATTCTCATGACCTAATTACCTCCCAAAGGTCTACCTCCAGATTCCATCACATTGGTTATCAGGCTTCAGTGAAAAATTAGGCTTTCCCATGAATTTTAGAGAGACAAACATTTGGTCCATAGTAATGCTCATTCACTGTCCTTTAGAGTTAAAGATTGCTGATTAGAAAGTGTCCTATTCTGTCATCTACTCTATTGCAAAAATTTGAGAGGGATAGTCGCTTTTCTTGATGCCCATTCATAGTGATACTGATTAAATGAGTGACATTTTCTTGTGATAGTCAACTTGTTATATATCATCAGGGTACGGAACACATAACTTTAATTGCACTGACTGTGTATAGTATTACTTTGTATGCAGGGTATGGACATGTTTGCCTGATGATAATCAGAGGTTTTTCATTCATTCTGATAATGGGAAACATTTCATTACAACTCTATTAAAACAACTCAAAACAGCTCACCAACATGTTTTTGAAAATCATGTTAGGGATTTAGACTTCATTGTCTTTCTGAGCCCTCCCCCTGATTCCTGAACCTCGGAGGCAATTAGATAAGAGATCACCCCTTGCTCCACATTTTACAAGTAAATAAGGCCCAGTTTTATACCTACAATGCTGTGGAGCTGGGCTTCTATCTCAGGTTTCCTGGCTGGTTTCCTAGTCTGGTATCGCTTGGCAGTCTTCCTATTCCTCTGATATTTAATAAATATTTTTGAATCATTCTCTTTGATATTTTAAATGTACTGAACATTTCCTAGTAACAAGAAAGCTTCCTGATTCATGCAGAACTCGAAACTATGGCTCGGTGACCCACATAATAATCCAGTTTCTATCCTCTGTACTATTCGAGGTCCCTGTACTTTGTACTCTGATAGCAGTCATAGGGTTTTTTGTTTGTTTGTTGCATATACATTAGAATTTTTTTTTTCAGATTGCCTAAGGAATTTTCAGTTACTCATGTGGAAGAACCATAAATGCTATTATTAAACTGAATAATGAATTTGATATCAAATATTCATGCTAATTAATGCTTTTGGGCTTTAAGATGAAATGAAAATAATGCCAGGGAACTGTGGATTAGAGGGACCCTTAAAAGCTCCATTATCACAAAGAGAATAAGCAGGAATTGCATTCATAAGGCATAGAACCCTGTTACTTTTCAGCACTGAGTTTGAGATGTTTGGCATACAGATTGGGTTCCTTATTAACTATTAATCTTTTCCTTTTTTCTTTCATCCTCAGCCACTCACAACTGACCTTCACTACTATTACATCCTGGAGCTGTCATTTTATTGGTCTTTAATGTTTTCCCAGTTCACTGATATCAAAAGGAAGGTAAGAGTGGTTATGTTGTAAAGTACTTGTAGACGTGCATCTTGAATAGCCCTTGGCAGGTGGCTGTAGAGTCTCAAAAGCATTCACCTTTGTTCTCCTGGCAGTGCTAGGTTAGCAGTACTCTCTGCATTATTACAAAAATGCTTCTGTGTTTGTTTGTGCTGTTTTGTATTTCGTTCCTATTGCCCCTTCTCTCTTCCCCCCAAAAACGCAGTGTTCTCTTACCTATGAAAAAATATAGCAATTGAATCCTGATGGCAGTAATTTTCTCTCAGTCTTATCCCCAAGTCCCTCTGTTTTCCGATTTAAATGAGAAGAAAATTCCTTTTGACTCCTGGAAAACAGTAAAGTTTCAGTGTTTCCAGCCCTGCAGAATTAATACTCTAGTAAAAGGGTTATCAAAATATGCCTAAAAATGCAACATTCCTAAATGAACAATGGTGGTGTTTCACCCTCTCTCCACTAGAGTCTCCTGTGCTGAGAGTACCCATGGCCACCTGACTGTTAAATCCACTCACTCCAACTCCCATCCTACCAGCTTCTGGGCAGAATTCGTGCTTTGGGCTGTTTGCTGTTTATTTTTTTCATAAAGCTGTTTTCTCAAGATTCCCACACTTGGATCAGACCTTCATAGTTTTCTTGCCTTCATTTTAATGCCCCAATTTGGTTCTAGACCCAAATTGTAGGATTATTGAGCTTATATTTTCCATCATGTCCAACAATAACCCATGTGCCAGAAATTCCCAAATGTTTCTCTTCTAATCAGATTTTCTTTGGGTCCACACTTCCTCATCTCTGCTCACAAAGAATAATATTATGTTCTTTTTGTTTATTATATTACTTAATCCTTGCAACAACTCCGATTCCAGTTTGGTTATTTTTTATTTATCTTCATTTTATGAATCAGGAAACTGAACCTTACATGCAAAATGTTCCCAAGTGCAAACACAATCTCTCTCCAAGTAGCCCTTCTAACCGACAGTCATGGAAACTGGGAAGGTTTTCTTTGTTCTCCTCTATTCCTACTCCCTTAATATCACTGACACACTTAGTTTGAGCCCTCTCTGCATTTACAGAGTCTATTATAATAGCCTTCTTGTTCTAAAATTGTCAATCTTATCTGCCTGCTGCCTCAGAGTTATATTTCTTAAACCTTCAAGACAAAGCCCAAACTACTTGGGGTAATATTCAAGATTATAAACAGTATGACTCAAATCTACCTCTCCCACTTATCATCCATGTCTCCATACACATAGGATTTAGCTACAAATATCTTCACACCATTGTTTAGGCACATTAAGTTTTTCCTGTGCATCCTTGTTTTTGTTGCTGCTGTTGTTCAAATATATTAAATTTCTTTGTGCATCTCCTCTGTTTTGTGGGTTAAACCGTTATTCAGTTGAAACTCATAGACTCCTATTTTCTTTTATTTATTTGTTTGTTTGTTTGTTTGTTTTTTATAAGACTCTGTCTATGGCTAGAGTATACCCTATTTCCTCTTTGTCACTAACAAGATATAACCAAAATTAGACTTTTTTTTTGATACCTTATTCTGTTTCAAGATTTTTGATTACCTTTTTTATTTAGTTGATAAGAGTATCCTACACTTATGGTGTTATATTTTGACAGTATGGTGACCTGCCTCTCTCTTTTCAGTAGACCTGGAGGGTAAAGAGCAATGTCTTAGTTCATTTGAGCTGCTATAACAAAATACATAGGCTATACAGTTGACAAGCAACAGAAATCAGCTGGGGATGTAATTCATTGTTACAACACTTGCCTAGCCAGCACGAGGCTCTGGGTTTGACACCCAGCACTACAAAAGAAAAACAAATTTCTGATATAAACAGTAGAAATCTATTTTTCATAGTTCTAGAAGGTAAGAAGTCCAAGATCAAGGCACCAACAGATTCATTATCTGTCGAGAGTTTCACTTTCTCATAGATGGCACCTTCTCACTATGCCCTTAAATGGTAAAGGGTCAAAACAAATTTTGGGAACATTCTTTTTTTTCTATTAATTTTATTTATTTATTTATTTTTGTTCTTTTTAGTTATATATAGCAATAGAATGTATTTTGACATATTTGAGATGTTCTTTGAAGCCACTAATTCGTCCATAAGGGCTCCTCCCAAAAGACCCCACCTCCAAATATTATTATTTTAGGAATTAAGATTTCAACGTATGACTCTGGGAGAACACAAACATTCAGCCTATAGGAAGCAGGATATGCTTATCTTTGTATTGCTTGTGACTATCAAAGTACCTGCAAATGATAGGATTAATAAGTCCAGGAATAAATGGATCAGTTCCTTTGCAAACAGCATTGTATATTATGATGGAGCATAATACTGTAATGTATCATTTTGGTTAGCCCAGTAATCTGCTAAATTGCAAAATAGTATATGAGTGGCAGCTGAAAAGCACTTAGGAGTCTATGGTCTAGAGCCTGAGTCTCCTTTCCCCAGGTAAGCTCTTCTACAGTTGAGCTGCAGTAGCTTTCTTGGCTGACAAAAAGCTACCTTTCCTGACTTTTATGGCTGCAAGGCCTTAGTATGGTATAGGTATCTGACTCTCAGAAAAAGTAGATGGTCCCTTTCAAGATGAGCTTTGGCATGGTAGAAGATTCATTGACACCTACAATTTGTGGTCCCTATATTCTTTGCACCAAACACTCTGGGCCAGTTTCTGGAAACATTTAAACGTCCTTCAGTGATGATATGCCAGCTAAATCTCCTCTGTTTTATGGGTAAAACCATAAAAACATTATTCAGTTGAAACTCGTAGAGTCCTATTTTCTTTTATTTATTTATTTGTGTGTGTGGTGTTGGGGATTGAACCCAGGGCCTTGTGCATGCAAGGCAAGCACCAACTATTTTCTATGTGCCTGGTAGAAAATAGATACATGGTGAGTTTATGTAAGTTTCTCAAGACCATGTAATGTGGGAATGAATTGGAATCCAAGTTTACCAAAGCCCTAGAATTCACTCTTAGATTAGACACATATACAGTTCTTGCCTTGCCCTGCCAGGCTCTTCATGTTAGAGGTAGTAAGACTTTTATAACTCATTACCATTTTGTTGATTCCCCTTTGCTTGGTGAGAATTAGGGATGCTACACAAAATCAAAGAGATTGATTAAAGCAAGAGTAGCTGTTCTTGTCTTCCAAAAACTGTGAGCCAGCAGAACTCAGGGAAGCTCCATTACTTTAAGCCAAATGACCATTATCTCAATAATTTCCATGGGAGGATTACTTTTAATGGTTGAAGTGTATCATTTTGTGTGATTTTTCACATATTTAGCACAAGTATAGAGAACACCTATAAAAAAGATAATTTTACAGTGAGGTTTGAAGAACTGATTCTAGGCCTGTGTGTTGTCAGTGTTTACAAATTTTATGTATATATTGAAACAATGTGTGTGTGTGTATATATATGTATATGTGTATATATATGTATGTTTATGTATATATACATGTGTATATATAAACACACACACACACACACACACCATATACACGCATTTTTTTTCCCTAAGTCTGCTCTAGTAGCTTGTTTTAGCTGTCTAGCACCCTTCTCTTCTTCTGTTGGTCAGAGTATTTTTGTATGTTCCTGGTACAGTTGGCTTATTCTTACTTCTTGCACAAAATGGAAATGAGGTCACTATCAGATGTGCTTATTAGTTGGCACAGGTTTTGATAAGAAAGACCTTTACCATATTGCCATCTGGCATTAGAGCACTGTGGTTCTTGTGTTTCCGGTCATATCTTGCTGACTGACCCCATGGGTCCTTGGTCACCCTGTCCTCATTACACTCCCACCTGGAGAACCTGCTGTTCCAGACATCAGTGACGTATTATGGTGTGTTCTGTCTGCCAGATACACTCTCCATCTTCTATGTTGGAACTATTAACTGCACCTCCTAAAAACAGCCTGTTTCTTAATCATGAAATAGGGATGTTTGAAGATACTCCTTGGCAATATGTTATGGAAACTAACTTCTGAAGGCTATTCATGAGACTGTTAAAAGAAGAGTTATCAAAATGCTTCTTAGGCTCCCCTACTAAGCAGTAAGCTTGAATGGTTATATTCAAATAGAGATCAGGATTTATAAACACTGGATCCAGATGCATGCTTCAGACTCTTGAATCAGTATATAAATGAGGTTTAGAAATCAAGATTTTTGACTGAATGGTTTCATGAATCTTTATGAAATTGCTTTCCTATTCACCAACTCTTCTCCTTTTTCCACCATTGAAAAAAAAAAAATGTTTCCACAAAGAATCTGGGGGTTAAAAATAAAGGAAGAACCTTTCATACCATTGTTGACAGAGCGCACTGCCTCTTGCTCTTTACCAAAGCTGGTACTTATTTGGTCAGTGAGGCTGAATATATTAATCTTTCCAGGCTTATGATTAAATATGGTATGCTACCAAAATATGTAAACTTTTTAAAGAAAATTTTCCATTTTTCTTCTTCCCCCATTCCTTTCTTCTACCCTTTCTTTCTTTTATTAAAAAAAAAAGATATCTTCCTAATACAATATATTCTTGGTGTTCAATGATATTTGAAAGATCTTTTTTCGAAACTTTTATTGTTGTTAAAATTCTGTGCTGTAACATCTGCTCACAATGAGCATTTCTCCTGCACCTATAAATTTTCTGAGGAAAGCTAATACGCATTCTTGTGTTGGGCTCAGAACAGCTTGCTTATGTCTAAACCTTGTGTCCCCTTTAACGAAGCTGCTCTCTGGCTCCAAGGCCTGGGCCCTGGGCCAGTGGGTCCTGCTCATGTTCAGGAAAGCATCCTTAGCAGTGTTCCAGGGCCTGGTTGGCAAAGTCAGCTTGTTGCTTTCTTGGTCTTTAACCTGAGAAAAACACCGCCATCATGCCAAAGATTCCTGACAGAGAGGTATGATGATTAAGTTTAGCAAGAAACTTATTTACAGATTTGTGTCTACTCTCTGATTACTTTTGATAGACAATTGCCAGTGCCTACCAC